AAGGCACTCAATGACCTAGACGTCCGGTGCCGATATCATATTTTGCAAATTCATTTGCAATCTATGCTAAATAAATAAATAAATAAATAAATTACTATTAAATAAGCTAAGTTTCCTGCAGGGTAATTTCATAATGAGGTAAAATGCATAACAAATGAAACTTCAACTAAAAGTACTGATTATGCAAATTATGGTTGATTTAGAATTTTCTTTGTCGCATTTGCGTTCATATCACAAGTAAACACATTTTTTTATGTGGAAGAAAATCGCAACATTTTCGGAAAAAAATTTTAAAACGAAAATTTTTAGCCACTTGAAACTTGCACTGACTACAATTGAGTGGGCTACAAAACTGCATACTCAAAATTTTTCTAGAGAATCTAATTAAAAAGCTCGAAAATTTTACAAAAGTTTGTAGAGTTTTTTTTTTATTACATTACACAAAATTTGAGACTTGGATTTATTTGGTTTTTGTTAAAGAATTAATTATATTTTTATAAAAAAATAAAACAAATTAATAACAAAAAGAAGTATAATAAATGTGAAAACTTGTCAAAATTTGGAGCGACAAAATTTTTTTCGACCACTGTATGTGTGTAAACATTATATGTATGTACATTTTTTCCTTTATTTGTTAACTAACTTTATAAAAGTTTGGTTTAGTCTATGAATAAATACATTGCTCAAATACACTAAAAAAATAAACAGACTGATTAGTAATATGTCAAAGTACAAATAGGTGGGGAATTTTACGAACTTTCCGGCAAAATTGAGGAATTGAAATTGAATGAGTTGGCTACCCTGGTGTGGATTTAGAAATCGTTCTCTCAAGTCTCTTATCTAGCGTAATCCCCAGATATTTGACCTCATCGGAGTATTCAAGCACTGCCCCTCCAAGAGTGAGTAGGGTCTATGCCTCTTTGGGCCAATGCCCTTGACATATATTCATAGGCGATTTCTCAATCCGAAGGCCGAATCCGTGGATTTAAGTTACGGCTTAACTAGCTATGATTTTTTTTTTTTTAATAAATCTAATGAATTTAAGCTCGTTCTCGTTTTGCAGAAATAGCACTTTTATTTCAATCGTATGACTAGACTTGGACATAGATTGGCAATCTTGCAAGAATATGGAAATTGGGATGAAAATGAAAGCAAGAACTATAATCTCTGATCTAAGTAAAAAAATTATTTTCTTATTATTGTTTATTTTATTGTTTATAACTTGAAAAATCAGAGCACTACCGCATTCTACCAAAAAAAAAAACGAAAAGATCAAGTGCCGTTGATGCGTCAAAACATTTTGTCACGTCTCAGGCGGCGTCGATAATGTCAATAATGCCATTCAACATGCCGCCATGGACTTTGTCGGCTTTGTAGCTTTCAGCAAATACAATCGGAGGTACGGGGGAGCGGTCGGAGACCACAAGTCAGCTGCCGAATTCAAAGAGACAGCGCGAAAAGTCCTTGACAGCATGTAAAAATGTGGCTTCAGTCAGGCAGGTTGTTCGCTTATATGCGCTGGATCACAAATTGATTTGGCAACTTTTTCTCACTACTTACATACATACACGCACATCACCGTATTGACGCTACCCTCACTTTGCAACAATTTGTTGCACACCAGCCAAGTCGTCAGGCTAGCCAGCCGAATGTAATGATCCACGATCGTGGCACAACAAAGCTTTATGTGATCGATTGTGATCGAAGCAGCAATTTCGGGAATTTCCGCAGCGGAGCGGAGCTGGGGTGTGGCTGGATTGCGTTGCTTGTCCTTTAATGCTTGATTTCGGCAGCAAAACCAAAATATGTAAAAACAAAAAAAAAACAACAACCAGCCAACGAGATTTACGAAAATTATTTGGCACATTTATTCGCGTACGAGGAAAGTGATTACAGAATGCTTTTCTTTCTTTGTTTCGTACCATATGCGCCTACCGCGGGAATGTGACAACCAATTCTCTTCGCTGCATATCGATGATTATGATCCTTTTAAATATAATTATTATAATCATTAATGATGATCACTTTGAACGCATCGCCTTGATCGACAATCAATGAAGTAAATGCGTCGATAATTGTTCGTCGCCGTTGACGAATTTCGAAAATTGTCTTTGCGCGTATTTTGTGTGATTTGTAATTTGCTACGGAAAAAAAATTGGAAATTTACCGCTGAGCAGCGACCGAGATGGAGCCTACGGTGTCATTAGTGTTTTAAGGTGTTTTGGGATGATTTTGTGTATTTTTTCTTTTAGTTGCTTGGTCGTTGTAATGCTGTCGGCCTTTTACAAAGTTGCATATTTGACATTCTCGGTGCTCGGAGATCAAAGGATTGCCGCGGCCGAAAACTATTTGCGGCTTCTGTAGTACCGCCAAAATTGTCGCAAAATAGTGAAAATTATTAAGTCACGCATATTTCGATGAAATCAGGTTTGATCACTGGAACGTTCGCTCGGTCGATCGATCGAGCTGTTGACACAATGTCAATTTGTATGCAATTTGTTGGTAATTAATTTAAGTACTCGTTCTGAAGGATTTGAACGAAAAATAAATTGTGAGAGGAAATAAACAAAAGATCATACGGTTCAAACGACCTTTCAGTGCCATGGAAAAGCATTTTGAAAAAGTTCTTTTTTTAAATGCATAGAAATTTATAGTGTTTTAATATTTGTAGGTATTTCAGAAAGTTGTTATAAAGTTGTCTTCTTAATGGCTGGGGACATAACCCTAAAACCGTCCCGACCACAAAATATCTCGACGGAGCAGCCTCTTAAAGTGCTTTAAAGATTTCCTATGGACGCACACTGAGTTACGGCCAGAAAGAGCTTTTACTTTGTGTGCGTTCAATTCAGTGATGCTCAGAGAGAGCTTTTACTCTGTGCGCTTCCCAGAGCGCTTTGCAGAGTTTGAGCTTTAAAACTCTTCCGCTATGGAATATATTTTGGTCGTGGCTGCTCTCAAGCAAATAAGTAAGAGTAAAACTCCACAACAAGCTTTTCAGGCGTTGTGATTTTCGGCACTCAGACTATAATATAAAACTTAGCTTAAAAACAGAGTGAAAAGGCAAAGCATTTAAATTCATTTGTTTAATACTGTACGGCTTTTCAGCTCAGCCCTGCCAGATGTACGGATTTGCAGGGGTGAAAATGGTTGTACGGATTCAACGTACGGATTTTTAGCTTTCCGTCAAAATGTACGGATTTTGTATGGATTTTCGGAGTGTCTTTTTCATATTGGAAAAATTTGCCTCATAGGTTTCTTATAGTTCCTGAATCCTCCATTTTTTTTATTAAAAAAATATGCGTTATTTTCGTACTTAACGCGATTTTAAAAATCAAACATGAGAGTGGATTTATTGGCCTTTAAAATTATGTATAACAATCTATTGGTAGGCTTCAATTGTTGGGAAGTTCTATCGCGTAAATTTAAAAAAAACCTAAATTTCTTTATTTTTTTAAATTTAACCATCGCTTCAAACATTACACTGTTACTCGGTGTGGTCGACAACCTACCTGAAAAGTTTTAGTACAATAAACTAAGAACACACTGCTCGTTAAAGAGTTCTAGTCAGAAAAATAATAAGGTTGTCTGTGAAGCTATCAATAAATAGGACTAGTGGAAATGTGTTGCTTTAGTTGATGTTATTAAAAGTACGATTCCTGTGTTCACCTAAGTTCAAACGATTTTTTTTTTGTGCTCGCCAAACAAATTTGATCGTACCAATTGTACAACTTGTCCGTGTACGGATTTTAAACTCTAAACGTCTGGCAGCCCTGTTGCAGCTTCAGTTTCGGCCTCGCTTCTACTCTGTTTACAACCTTATAGCTGAATAAAGCGTAGAAAGCCTGAAAAGCTTGTTGTGAAGGCTCCATTAATATCTGAACGACCTCGGAAACGAAAAATAATAGTTTCCGTTATGAATTTCTTTTGGATTATTCGGGGCCATTTTTGTAGTAAAAAACACCCCTGGCATTAAAGGCTGAAGGGTTCTTTATTACGTCGAAAATATTTGAGAAACCCAAAAAAAAAAGTTCGGCTTAAGGAGTGATTTCTCCTAAGATTTGTGCCTAAGAAAAGTAAAAACTTTAGAACCCATTTGAATTAAGTGCAACATTTATTTTTTTTTAATTGGGTACCATTAAAGAAGTAAAATGCCATCTAAATTAAATTATTTAATTTTTAGTTCAAAATAAGCCGATCTTGGAATCGAGTGCACGACATTGCAGACTATACGGCATAGAAAATCATTTTGAAAAGGGTTTTATAATGTAAAATTATCCCCAAACAATTTTACAGTTATGTAAATAAAAGCATTTTTTATTTTTGAAATGTTTATTTTTTCAAGCAGTTTAATAAAATAAATACGTTTTAAATATGACAAAGTTAATGCTTAATATTAAATTAATGAAAATTAAATATACTAAAACATATTTTTTTACTAAATCTATTTTAGCAAATAAATTCTTAAAAAGTTTATCAAATTGGTATTTAATTGATAAAAATTTGAAATTCTAGACATTTTTGGGAAAATTCTTTACTCCAATTTAAAAAATTAAATACATTCTTTGGTTTATTTAGCTGTGGTGTAACTAACAAAATTTTGTTTTAACATTAATTTTACAATTTACATAATTTAAAAAGGCCGAAAGGTTTCTGGAAAGGCCAAATTGTGAAAAAAGTGTATTTACAGCTATAACTAGTGGCAATATATGAAATTCCATAAATATTTGAGCAACAATAAATGAGCAAAAATGCGTACATACATACATATGTACATATTCGTTAGGGCGGGTAAATGCTTTTTTTTTTACTATGCGCTTATAGCAAGAAGGATCCGACGTGTAATTCTAAGCTAGTTTTCCGAAGAAACCATGTGTCTAAAATCGATTGGGAGTGTGCCGAATTGCGAAAATAGGCTTTGAAGAAAATATGAAAATTTGCATTGATGCGCATTCTGGTGGAGGGTTTAAGAAAACGATACGACACTAATCCCCTATGGTATGTTTTTTTTAAGAAAATTTAAGCACTTTTTTACGACACTACAGAAAGACGCGAAGATACACGGGTTTTTCGCCAAATTTTGCTTAGAACTCCACGTTGAATCCTTCTGTGCATAGTCGAAAAAATCTCCCTTACAAATTGACCAGCCCTAATACATAGTCGTGTGTTTAATGGGCGGAAATTACTATATATGAAATTTGTATTAACTTTCATTTAAAATTTTATTCCTAACTAACTAAAACTAAGATCTTATAGGCAATACTAAGAAAGTTAGAAAATCAAAGGCTTTGTAACATTTGCATGCCTATAAAAAAAACGCACACCAACACACAGTCACTGGTTTATGAAAATTTCATCGGACTAATGCTTAAATGCTATTTGCTTAACAACTACATACATACTATACATGCAAACATATCCTGTATGTATATTTGTGTGTGTAGAAAACTTTGGCTTAAACGACTTAGTATCTCAGCAGACCGAACTGGAACCACACAATGCGTACTGGGCGTAGATTAACTTAAACTAAATTACCTTTAACTACTTATGTACTTATTTTTCAGTATAAATACTTTTTTATAAATATGTTAATATTATATGCTGTAATAAATATTTACATTGCTTTGTATCTGGGTGTGTGTGTTCTTACAACACAAACCTTACCACACACATTTAGCCAATCCATAACGGATATTTGTGCGCCGGTACGATTAACGAACTACCAGTCTTGGTGCTGCTTAGGGCCTCTTCCGACCCGTACGCGTGTCTTCAGCAGCTGCTGCTGCTCACCTCCATCTTTACGGGCGCCAAAATTTCCTCGTGTCGAGATTCGCGATGACGACGCAGATCCACTTTGCGTTGAAACGACTGATCGCAGAGACCGCAGCCGAAAGGCTTATAGCCGGTGTGTTTGCGCATGTGCGTGATGAGATTAGAGCTTTGGCTGAAAGCTTTCAGGCAAACGGTGCATTTATGTGGCTTTTCACCTAAAAAGGAAAAAAGGAAACGAAAGTAGAAACAACGAATTAATCAATAAGTTCATTACGAAGGAAGATATGAAAATCAAGTTTTTATGATCGGTTCGGTGTGATTCAAAACAAATGCATAAACAAAATTTCAATACGCGTTGAAATTGAAAAGTGTATTGACTCGAATTTGTTTTCAAATCGTTTTTTGTTTTTTTTTTTTTTATATTTCGCATCGGTTAGAAAATCCGCATAAACGAATAAGTCATTATACGCGAAATCAAAATTGGCTATTGTTTTCTTTATACTGCCCCCGTTTTTAATTGGAATTGTTATGATTATAAATTTGTATTACTACTCGCTTCCATTTCGGTAGGTACACCGCGCAAATTTATTTTAAAAAAAATTTCGAATCAAACTAACATAATTTGTTTACTTTTCAATACGGTTTTATCGAGTGCGCTATAAAGACTGAGGAATAAAAGTTAGAAAGAATTAAGTGTCGAATCAAATCGGTTCTTTGTTAATGCGGGTTTTTCGTAGGTATAAACAAGGTAATAAAAATAGGCAGGTGGCGTGAGCTAAACAGGGGAGGGGGTGGAGCTTTAATGGTGGAGCAATTAAAAATATTAATCACTTTGTCGAGTTTCCACTGAAGGCAAATAGTATGGAAAGCCTTTTGAATATCCTTTAACCCTTTGTAGGGTAGCCGGTACAATAAATGATTTTACACGCTTGTGTAACAAAATCACGCAATTAGTAAAATTAAATCAGATAACAGCGGCGTATGTATGTTAGTGTGTACCTGTATACAGTCGCAAATGCATGGCCGAGTGATTTAATTGTTAGCAAAGTGTCGACATTATTGTACGCTTGAGTGACACGTGACTCGCGTTTTCACACAACTAAGTTGGCAACTGAGTGGCCGCCCTAGCTGACTTTTTAAGTGCAGCAGTGCAATAGTGCAATTTTACAAGGTGTGCTATTTTTTTAATGCAACTATGAAGGCGAAAGGAATAACTGAAGTTGTGAGGAATTTTTTTTATTGAATTTTTTGAGTTGTTAGGGGCTTTGCTTTGATTGCTATGCTTTTTTAAGCGCCTATTGTTTGAAATCGAACAAGAAAGCTTAAAAATATTTTATTTCGATTATAATTTGATTTCAATTAAAATATGATGAAGCTATTTACTAATATTAATTTCACATTTTGAAAAAAAAAAATCAAACGAAAATTCTCAGAAAAAGGATTTTTCACTTATTATTATCAAAATTAAGAAAAAATAGTGCCAAAAACCTAAAAGAGACATTTTTCATTAAATTATTTTTTTTTATAAAAAAATTTATTGAAAAAATTACTTTTTTTTTTATTCCAACTTTCTCAAAAGCCTTAATAAATGTTCTTCTACATTTCAAACTGTAGTGTTTTACATATGCATATTCCTTAGTCTTGAAAGGGTTAAATGAATTGAAGAGGAAAATATGGCTTTTTGTGCGAATCTCAAACTGATAAGTGTGGTAGAAACAGCAAGAGAAAGAAGTACATATGTATGTATTATTTGCTGCCAAAGAGTCAAATTTGAAACTTTGTAAAGGGTAGTAGAAAGTAGAGCTTACTTTTCCTTGTGAAAATTCAACCCCTAGAGGAGCTGTGAGAAATTTCAGAAAGTAAGTAGTAGTAATTGTTCTTACACAAACACCCTGTTCAGACAGTTGTCCACCCAATCAAACAGATTGTTTCACAACTAATGACCGATGGCAAGCGACGATAAGGCGAGTTGTGTGCAATAAATTTTACAGCCCATATGTTCAAGTAACACTGAAGGGATTTAGTGGGGTGAATTGCAGAAAAAAAGATACTCTACAATTTGATTTCATTTCGCTAACATTGGTGAGGCAAACGCGGGCGCCAACTCTGTAAAGGTATTTTGTTAAAATGTAACATAAACCATTTGAGAATTGCTGCAGAAGACGCTAAATATCTATGAAATCATAAGCACCTGATACGTTACACTCAAATCTTTATAGGGGCTTTTAAACTCACCAGTGTGTATGTATGTGTGCTTCTTCATGTCCGATTTTTGATGGAAACGCTTGCCGCAATATTGACAAGGATACGGCCGTGTGTCGCTATGTATCAGCAGATGTGTAGATAAAGTCGACGAACGCTTAAAGGATTTGCCACATTGCTTGCACTGGAAAAAAATAAAATAAGAAAATTTAACTACGTGGGCCATTAAAAATATATACATACACATGCACAAGTAAAATAATACAAATATGGGTTACAAACATAGCGTTACTTCAATGCGGAATGGTGCTGTCTAACATTTTTAATTTTTTCCAACAGCAATTATGAGCGAATTTCTTAACACAAAATATTATTTTTTAATAGAGACTGTAACTACTTTAATGATTTATTTGTTGCTTTTTCATTCCATTCGATTTTTGGTTACTAATCTAGCGGCTTTTGTAGAAAACTGGATTTTTGGGAGAAAACTAGTTAGCACTTTTCTGTTTTAATGCATACATACATACATATCTATTATATTTATTTAAAACTATTTGCACAGCTTTTCAAGAAATTGAGACTCTTTGAAAATAAGTTTATTTAGTTATCACAAAAATATGTACATACATACATATGTATATGTATATACTCATGCACACAAATTAGCTAAGACATATTTATGAAAGATATGTCAAATCTCTTGAGGAAGCCACTAAATACAGATACGCTCGTCAATATTTACTAAACACAGTTAAACAGCTGAGACAAGAGTAGTAGTAAGTATCTGCATAACTGCGAAATTAAGAATGAAAACAAAAGACTGGCTTTCGGGAAGTTGTGAGAGAGTTTGGGACTAAGAATAATTTAGAAAAATATTTGTTTATATGTATGTATATGTATTAGAGGGTTGCATGTATTCATTCAAACTTTAGCCAAACAAAGTACATTTGAATATTTTACTTCAGATAAAAACGCTCAGCGTATGGAATTTCGTAAGTTATGAATATACAATTTGTTTTAAATTTTTTACCTTCAAGTGGAAGAATGTGAACGAATAAATGAAAAATATTCAAATAATTCAAACTCATTTTGGTTAAAATTTTTTTCTACAAACAAATTCGTTCGTATTGTAATAGACATAGACAAGATTTTTATGGATATTCATACAAAAAATTGTCATCTGTTACAATTCAGTTTACTTTCACTTTGTTTGAATATGTATTGTGATGTTGTTGCCATATATCAGAACAGATATTCACTCAAATTTAAAAAAATTTCAAGCCAAAATCATTCATTCGTTTTGAAAATTAATAATTCACAAGCCGTTTTGAATGAATGCATGCAGCCCTCTAATATGTACATAGCTGTATTTTTATGTAAAAGAAGATTTTTATTACGTCAATGTAGACCAATATTTATTTACACGTAAATTTATTTATTTTATACTCATATTTACGTATGTACATGCGGTTTAGATTAGTTAAACCTGGGATGTCACGTGTACGACACGCAACAAAAAGTGGATGCAAGTGTATCGAGGATCCGGTACTCTAAAATACCTACCAAATTTTTTTGTTTTCCTGTGCTGAGCATTATATGCGGGACTTGCGAAAGTAGGATGTGAAGAAGCGCACGTGACTTACGACTTCACTCACGTCTACCCTCCCTCACTCTTGCCAGACTGTCACGTCGCTATTCTTGTAAAAGCTAGTTTGCATCTGAGGACCTTTTTAGTAGGCAACGAGTTGATGACTTTCCTGAGCATTAAAATTAGCCTAGTTTCCATCGAATGTGTGACTTTTTTTTGCTGGAGTTAAGCTATTTTAGATTACATAACCTGTTTTTCATATGAAAAATAAGTCTGCTAGGAAGGCATTACAGTCATCTTTCGATGAAGACGACAATACCACATTCTTCTGAGTGTATTAATAATATTGCAAAATATTATAAGACAGGCGCCAGTTCTTTGCTATATTTCTCCGGTCGAGCAATGATGTGATAAACCATGGCTTTCGCCGAGACTTATATTTTGGATGTTGTTTAACTTTTGCCAAATAATAATAATTTTCATTGAAATAGCTTCAGGGATACCTGTACTTAAGTTCCAAAATTGGCGTAGAATGTGGCTTTTAATATAGCAATTCTGGCTAAGATAGTAAAAAGTCTTTCGTAAGACAAATGAAAGACAGATGGCAAAATAGTTCGAAAGACTTTTGTTATTCTAGCACAAAAGTCTTAGAAAAAAAGCTCTCTCATTGACCACTAGTGAGGAAAAGCTATTTTGAGAGAAAGCACTCGTATGCCATTTAGTTCGCGCCGATTCAACAGGCGCAATGTCTAAGTGAGCGCAACACAGGCGTGCCGTACGAGAGATCCGAGTTCGAGTCCTAGGGCAGCGGATCGTTGTTTTTATTTTTTTTTTATTTGTTTCCTTTTTAATTCAACGTTCTTTAAATTTGTATGCTTTATTGTTGTAAAAAGAAAAAAATATGTATAATTTTTTTAATTTAATTTAATTTTTAGAAACTCATTTTATGTTATTAATCTTTTTTCCTCCTTAATATAATTTTGTTTTAAGTTTTAGATGCTCTTTTAAAAAGAATACTTTTATAATTTCATTTAATTTTTAGGAATTTATATTTCTTTTTTCTAATAAAATTTTTGTCCTTTTGTTTAATTTCATTTAAGTTTTTGAAACATTTTTCTTTAATTTTTTTAACTTAATTTGCTTTTTGCTTTTTAATTTGATTTTATTTAATTTTTAGCTTTTGTTCATGAGTTTTTATTGTTTCAAAAATAAAAATATATATATTTTTTTATTTTATTAAATTTTTAAAACGCACTAATGTTTTATTCATTGTTCCGCAGATTTCTGTAGCACGAATGAAAAATCGATTTGTTGAAACTCGGCACGATTTGAGTAGACTTGTGACAATTCACTGCTCTTAATACAATACAGCTTTGCTTTCTTCACACTTTCTTATTTTTGTTTGTTTTTGATGCTTTTAAACAGAGACGTCTATAGATCCATAGTTAGTACAGTTGAGCAGGAGAATTTTTAGAAAAAGCTGTGCAAATTTATGATAATTTTGGAAAGAATTTACTTATGTATATGTACATATGTATGTAGCTTTGAGAGCACGTTGTGTTGAGGTTTCACACAAACGTGTCCCCGTTTCATTAGGTAAACAATTGATGGCGCATAGTATTTTCCTTTGCCTTTTGGAATCATGTGGCTGACTTTTCATAAATCCATAATGATTTTGTTCGAGTCCCAATTGTTTGGCGAGAAACAGCTTTGCAAATAAGTGGACAAATAACGAACGAATCAGCAATAACAAATCACAAAGAGTATTTTCTAGTGCTTACGGTATTAATATTTTAAATATAGGTGTATAAGAAATTTGTTAGTGTTAGAATGATTCTTTAAAAAGGTGAAGTTAGTTTGTGCTTAGCTGTGTAATTTTTCATGATTTTACATGTTTTATTGTAATGAAATCAAACTAGACATTTATTACTCTGGACTGTACTCAAATACAGCTGAACTAATAGTGAGCTGAACGAGTATATACAACGAAATGAACTCAAAAACGTTCGCTCAGTACTGTGTAGCTCAGAATGAGCGCGAACAATTCTGTTAAATACAAATGTGACTTGTTTTTGTTTGCTAACTACTTAGAACAAAGAAACTAGCATTTGCGCAATAAAATAGGTAAGTTGATTTTATTTAACTCACTGATTTAAAGAAAAAAAACATATATTTTTAATATAGAATTTTGCCTTATTAAGCAGCAAGTGAAACTTTCGTTGAAATAATTTAGATTTACTAGATACATACGGTTATAAAAATTAAATGTGATCGGATATTTCAGAATTTTCAATTCGATTTTTTTGAGTATGCAGTTTTGTAGCCCATTAATTTTAGTACAAAAAATACAAGTTTAAAGTTAGCAAAAAGTCGTGTTGATTTTTAAGAATTTAGAGAATTTTAGTTGAAGGTGTTTAGGCATTTTTTCCATACAAAATATTTTTGAAATTTTTTTTTGTATGAAAGAAAGGGTGCATTCCAAAACGTCAAAATACAAAGCATTAGTTTCTTTCATTTCTAAACCACACTAGAAGCAAAAATCAAACATGCGTAACCTGGTTGAAAACTAGCATCTAACCGTGGTTGCGCACATAATATATATTGGGCTATATACCTGCATACTCAAACAAGTTCTAAAAAATCGAAAAACTATATTTTTCTGTTTTTTTTTTTTATTGTATGAACCATATATTTATAAAAAATTAGAGGGGAAAAATTTAAAATAAAAATTGTGGAAATATATTGTAAAAAATTACACTGGTCTACAAGGGTTTTGCGAATAAGACGGGACCTGGTGTTTCCGAACGGATTTTTCGTGCTGAACACGAATCTGGGGTCCAAAACTTCCCATCACGTCACGTTTTCGAGAAAAAAGGGGTTGAAACCCCTAAAAACAGCGTTTTTGGCCATTTTTGAAAAATTGTAGAGCTGAACCCTGACGTGCTACAAACTTTGTATATGTCAGAAATTAAAGGCTAAATCGTGCCCTTTCGAATGAGCCCTATGCCGAATTAATCGCATGCACCCTTAGATCAGGGGGTGTATTTGTGTCTAGGAGTCCAGGGAAAATTGATCGCAGAAAGAATTTCATCTTAAACGACCATATAAAATGAATGATGCTAAGGTCTTAACTACATTAAGAGTCGCTGATTACGAATCTGAAGTTAGATTTTAAAAATTCAAAATGGCGGATCCAATATGGCGGATTTAAAAATTTTTATTTAGCGAATTTCAGTTTATTTTTTATATCCACCATATTCGACCCGTCATCTTAAATTTTTAAAATCTAACTGCAGATTCGTAATCAGCGACTTTTAATATAGTTAAAACCTTGGCATTATTAATTTTCTATGATCGTTTAAGATTAAATTCTTTCTGTGATCAATTTTTCCTGCACCCCTAAACACAAATACACCCCCTGCTTTAAGGGTGCACGCGATCAATTCGGCATAGGGCTCATTCGAAAGGGCACGGTTTAGCCTTTAATTTCTGATATATGCAAAATTTGTACCACGTCAGGG